TGCCTCCATAGAAAGAACTGATATTGTTTGAATACAGACTGAAATGTGCTATTTTTCACTTTCTTTCTTTCGTTTTATACGAGCTTTCTTGGACAAAATGACTAATATGGAAATGTTTTACATAATTGCACATATATAACCAATATCCGATTGCCTACCGTTTTTGGGAGAGGGGGTCGGGAGGGACAGAATTTGGACCTCAAAACTTTAAATAAAATGTTAAAATTAAAAAAAAAACCAAATGATCTGCCAAGGTAGTAAGACAATGGAAGTCTCCATGACCACACATGTGCCACATTCACCAAGATGAAGTCATAATCTATAGCCTTGCTAAATTAGCTCTTTTGCCTGAAAAACAGCTAATGTCAGACTTCCCCACAGATCCAAATGAAACATCCAAAGAGGTCAGAAAACAAAGTATCTTATCACATCAAATAGTTTGAAAAAATTTGGATTTTGCATGCCAAGAACAACCATCACTGATACTTCAAAACATTTAGCTGCTGACTGTGTGTCTCTGGGCAAGTTACTTTATCTCAATAAAACTTCAGTTTCTTCATTTATTTCACTGATTCTATGCTATGTGATATACTATGATTTATATTTTGTAGATTCCATAAAATGTAATGTTGATCTGATGGCCTCTCATGGGACTCTTCCAAGCTCTAAATCTATGATCTATCATGTTTCATACACAAACTTCCTGAATTCCAAATTCCATTAATTATATTTTTGGTGAAATCACTAATAATTTACTCAGAGTAAGCAGTCTTTGAACTTCCGACAATTCCAGTAAAGGACATTAAAAAAAATACCTGGGTATTTTGAAATCTTAATGTTCTTTCCATCACATCATAAAAAAAACAAAATGAGATCTAACCAGTGACTGGGGAATAAATGTTTAACTTTTTAGTGGTATTTTAGTTAGGCCAGTGGAGTCAAATAGGAAATTACAAATCACAGAGTTTGTTTAATGCAGCTCCATCGGCTACTCGAATGACCGAATATAGTCACTCAATCATGTGTTCATTCATCCTCCTTCACACTGCATGCAAATCCCAAATGGTGAAGACAGAATTAGGCTTGTCATACTTAGAGTACAGTATATTAACATATACAGTATGGAATACAGTAATATATCTGTACTCTGAACTATGATACATAATTGAGAGTTGATCTATTGTTATATCTATTGTCACACGTACTAGGTACCATGGTAGTTGTGCAATGCCTATGAATATTAAGTTGTGGCCAACATTATTACTTTATTAAGAAATGGAAATAAAGCCTCAGGGGGGTTAACTGAATTGCCTGGAGTCCTATAACTAGTTAGTGTTTGAGCTGGAAAAGAAGCCATAGAAGATTCATAACAACTCATGCAGAAGAAAGCAAGTAGAACCAGAAGAGAGAGAAGTCCAACAATTACAACGTAAATGAAAACAACACCAAAAGGTAGCCATAGTCTGATGAACTGTGATGACCCATCTCAGTCCTGAAAAACTGATGATGAAACACTCCTCTCAATAGAAAGGTGGGGGACTACAGACACAGAATGGAGTATACATTAAGATACGCAGTCACTGAAGAGGGTGGATTTGCTCAAATGATTTTCTTCATTAGAAAGGAGAGTTCATGTGTATGACTTATTCTCAGCAATACAATGATCCAAGACAATCCTAAAGCACTCATGATGAAACATGCTATCTGCCTCCAAAGAAAGAACTGGTATTACCTGAATGCAGACTAAAACATACTAAATTTTCTTTTCTTTCTTTCCCTTCCTTCCTATCTTTCTGTCTTCCTTTTAAGTATTCCTGTAGAAAATGACTAATATGGAAATGTTTTACATTATTGCACATGTATAACCTATATCAGATTGCTTACCATATCAGGAAGGGAGAAGGTAAGGGGAGGGGATAGAATCTGAAACTCAAAACTTTAAAAAATGTTAAAACAATTTTTAACATGTAACTGGGGAAAAATATTATTTTAATAAAGAGAGGAAAGTTCAATGTAGGAAAAGTTTAAGGGGAAATGACTAATTAAATAATATTTAAAATTTAAATATTTAAAATATATTACATATAAATTATTTAAAATATTTAAAAATATTTTCTCAATCAAAAATTTATTTTCTCTTCTACCCTTCACTGGAAAAAAAAAAGAAAGTAAAACAAAACCCTTGTATCAAATATATATAGTGAAGTAAAACAAATCCCTACATTGACTGTGTCCAAACAATTTATGTCTCATTGTGCTTCTTCAATCTATCACCTGTCTGTCAAGAGGTAAGTACCATGCCTCGTCATAAGGCCCCTGGTTCATGGATGGTCACTATGTTGATTAGAATTCTTATATCTTTCCAAGTTATTTGTCTTCATTAATGTTGTCACATCCTATAAGCTGTTTTCCTTGTTTGCAGACATAACATTTTATAAAACAAAATAAAAACAGGAAGAACCTTGACCAAATTTCCTTCTCATTGTTCTCGAATTGTTTTAAAGTTTCTTCTTTGCAACAAGCCTGTTAGTATTCCTAACGACCTCACTTTTTTTTTTTTTTAAAGCAAAGATTTAGGTAGAAGAGGCAAGGACTTTTGCAATACGAATACTCTAGTTGGACTTGACAGTTTCAAGGCACAGCCTCTTAACAAATGACCAATCCCTGTTGGAACAAAAAAAAAGCAGAAAACCAGGATGTTTATGCATTCCATTTCTAATTGGACCAACTTACTGGCCCAACTGCTCAGAGAAGAGCGACATGGGGATTTCTGAACTACGTGGGGAAAGTACTCTAATCATGGAGGAATTTAGATTATGTCAAGTGCTTGTAGTTCTACAGGATACAGTGTCTAAACAGATGATTCAAATACATATATGCATGTATGTATGCATGTATGCATGCACGGGCTAAGCTGTGTGCTCCTGGAAGCAGCTTGTTAGCTCAGTGGATAAAGCTCTGGGTCTGGAGTCTGGAAGACCTGAGTTCAAATCTGGCCTCAGACACTTACTAGCTGTGTGACCCTGGGCAAGTCACTTAACCTTTGTTTGCTTTAATCCACTGGAGAAGGAAATGGCAAACCACTCCCGTATCTTTGCCAAGAAAACCCCATGGACAGTAGGGTCCGCAGGGTCAGAGTCACATACAGCTGAATAACTGGACAACAACAATATACATCAAAGTCAAAATACAAAGAAACAATAATAATGATGACTAGGATTTATACAGTGCTTTTTGCAAAGTGCTTTACAAATATTATCTCATTTGATTCTCATAACAACCCTGGGAGGTAGGAGCTGTTATTGTCCCCATTTTAGAGACAAGGAGACTGAGGCAGACAGAGGTTAAATGACTTGACCAGGATCACACTGCTGATAAATGCCTGAAGTCATATTTCAATTTAGGTCTTCCTGACTCCAGGCCCAGAGCTGAAAGCACTGTGTCGCCACCTAGCTGTACAGACTGAAAACAGCTGGTTCTATAATTTGAGAATCGCTATTCAAGATTAGCAACAGCATTCCTTAGGGGAGTGCCCAAAGAAAGCCACCCTAAAGAAATCTTTGTCCTGGAAGTCTGGAGGCAGGAAAGGGCATCTTAATAAAGGAAAGTCAAATCTGAGACCGGAACAGAAAAGCTCTGAGAAATCTAACATCCCTTCACAGGACAGTCTGCCCCTCCTCCATCTCCTCTTCTAAAAAAAGGTTCATGGGTCAATTAGGTAATTCCTAAGAGATACTTCAAAGGACAAACAGCTCGCTGTCCCCCAGGACTCCCCGAATTTGTCCTCCAAGTGTCAAATGACTGAATGAAGAAAGGGTGCATGTCTCCCATTAAAGAAATGTGAGCTGGGAGTCAGGGAGAAGAAATTTACAGTATTTATGAGAGGGCAGAAATCTTTTCTTCTATGGTATTAGTGAAAGTTCCAATGTCCTTTTTCAGGTAAAAGGGGGGCCACTGGGAAGGTATAAATGTGTGTGTACCCCCCACCCCTGTGTATAAAAGTTTTTTGTTTTTTCTCTCCTCCAGCTTGTAACATACTGGCCATAGATGTGAGAAAATCTATTTCCCACAATAAGTCATCAATATTTGACAGAGGTGTAAACTGTTCCAAACGCGCAGGAAAACAATTTATAATTAAATGAAAAGAGTCACTAAAGTGTCCATACTCTCAGATCAAACTAAATTTGTAAGAAACTGGGGCATGAAAGTGGGCATAGGCTACAAGGAGGTTAATGGGGGCAAGATCCCCCACACATCCAGCACCAGCCTTTGTGGCAGCAAAGTATTAGAACCATAAGGGTGCCCTTTAATTGGGTAATGGCTAAACAAACTGTGGTATGTGAATGTAATGCAATGTTATTGCGGTGCAAGGGAAAAAAACAAGCATGAGAAATAAGGCCTGAATCAAGTAACACAGAGCAAAGAAAACAGGACCAAGAGAACAGTGTACACACGGACTGCTGTTATGTAAATGAAAACAATGCCATCAGGCAGCTGAAATCAGATTCACTTGCACTGATCAAATTTAGTTCTGGAGGACAGAGGATAAAACACAATTTTTTTTTTTGGTAGAGTGGTGGATTACAGGTACAGAACGTTGCATACACTATGAGATGTGATTGCTTTTGTTGTCTAGTCAGTTTTGCTGAACTGTTTTCCTTTGTTACTAGGGAGGGTGCAATGTGGAGTATATCAGGAAATGACAGATATAAACATGCACACAGACCCCAAAGGACTCTAATTTTTTTCATATTTAAAAAAAGTTAAAGAAAAACAATCAGTCACACTAATAACCACTGAGGGGGACTGGTTCACATCATCTCATGCAATGCCAACAAGCTTTCTCCAGGCAGAAGGTGAATGAGGTAGCACTAACACCATAAAACATCTGCCGCTTTGGGGCTCCCTGCTATACTGGCAGCACACTCATGCTCCCTTACAAAAGGGGTGACGCACAGAGCCTCCTGACACTGCTGTACTCAATCAAGTTTGACTCTTACCAGGTACTGGAGCCGCTGGCGTTCTGTCTCTGGCGTGAACTCTGAAGACATGGGGATGATTTCTCCATTCCTAACAATGATGGCTCTGAAATGGTAAGAAAACATCATCAGCTTCTAATCCGGGCAAAAAAAAAAAAAAAATCTTGTCCTGTTATGACACACAGCTTGTCTCAGACCACAGATTAAGTGAATTTAAAAAACACACAAACAACCACCACACCACAAAACCCATCAGTATGCAAATCAGAAATCCTCAATCTGGCTTCTTTTCCTCATAGCATAGCAAAAGAGCCTTGCCCAGCTCACCCTGATAGCTCTCAAAATACGGATGCCCAAATGAGCTGAGAACTATTTTGGACTCCAGGACTTTATGAGAACTCATTGCTCCAAACCCCAATGTCCACAAGAGATTCTATAGCAATGGTTCCTAAATTTATTTGGCCTACCACCCCCTTAAAAAAAAATTACTTAGCAGCCTCCTAGAAATCTACTTTCTTTAACTGTTTAACACTTTAAAAAAAAAAAACTTGCATCATTTCAAAAATTATAACATTTTAAAAAAATGATGCATCTTAAATTTAATAATTTATTGTAAATTTGTGAGTTTGTTTCCTGCATTGAAATTTTAATGATGCAATACTGAGTCATGGGGCAGCTAGGTGGCACAGGGAATAGAGCACCGGCCCTGGAGTCAGGAGGACCTGAGTTCAAATGTGACCTCAGACACATAACACTTACTAGCTGTGTGACCCTTGGCAAGTCACTTAACGCCACTGCCTTGCCAAAAAAAAAAACCAAAACAAAAAATACTGAGCCATGCAACTACATAATATTCTATTGTAAACAAGTCATTACATGTACATATTCCTGTTGATGCATGCTGAACTTCCAAACAATGCATGACAAGCTTGCCTGCCAACGCATGCTTGTTAAGACCTGTCAGCCGACTTGACCATTGATCAGTTATAATTTGCATTTTGTGTTTATTTGGAAAATAATGTAATCACTACAACTTCAACTGTGTTACACAACAGAAGAAACATTTATGAACAGTTTTTCAAAATTTTCTTTCTTCTCTTCTTTCCTTAAACTTCCACCACCCCCTTATTTTTATTCAATGCTCCACAATTGCACCTGAGGCTACTACTGCCCCTCTCCATCATTCCAGCTCCCTGAGGGGGTGGTATCGCCTACTTTGGGAACCTATGTATAGGGCTGACTTATTTAACCACCATTTTCCCTTGTTTGAATCCCCAGCCTTCAGTTTGCTGCTGAAAACCACGTTCCAGGTATTGATTCATCTGGAATCGGAATTGGAATTCTCAAAACACACAAAATAATACCTTAGTGAATTCCAGTCTATAAAAACCTAGTCAACTTTTTATTAAAAGGGATGAGGATGATGAGATGGGGGATGATAAAAACTTCAAGATCTTTTCAAAACCGACCTCAAACACTTTAGTTCCTTTATGTAAGTGGCAAGTAATTCTTCGCTGACAGAATCAGCCGCACCAGCTGAAACTGAAGTGGCCCCGACTCAGTACACTGGTAGTACCTAGCTTCCCTCTGAAATTATTTTCCATTTTCACCAACTCTATCTTACATGTAATTTTTTTGTACGTCGCCTTCCCCATTAGAATGTAAGATCCTTGAGTTTGCCTTTCTTTGTATACTCAGAGTTTGCCACAGAAGAGCTTAATAAATGCTTGTTTACTGACTTAACTAGCAGACAAGCTCATAGATGTTACCTGCAGAGTAGCCTCGGTCTGGGTGGCTAGGTGGTGCAGTGGATAGAGCACTGGGCTGGGAATCAGGAAGACTCATCTTTGTGAGTTCAAATCTGGCCTCAGATATTTACTAGCTGTGTGACCCTGGGCAAGTCACTTAACCTTGTTTGCCTCAGTTTCCTCATCTGTAAAATGAGCTAGAAAAGGAAATGGCAAATCGCTCCAGTATCTGTGCCAAGAAACCCCCCAAATGGGATCACAAACAACTGAACAACAATAACAGTCTCTATCTACACCATCACTGCCCTCCCATCCTATCACACTAGGCTCCTTCTGCTATTGCCATAGAAGTTAATGTGAGGTAGGAAAAAACAAGAGCTTTTAGAGAATCTGTGGTTTGAAGAAACAGAAAAGGTATGACAGACAGAAATGACCCAAGAGAGTGGACCCTATCTATGCAGAGCTGGTGGACCTGTAGGCTGGCATCCCTGCCCAAACAGATCTCCCCCCAACTGCTTAAATCCTATTCAATTCACTCAGTAAGGCTTCCTGAAATTCTACCAATTAGAGCTTCATTTGGGCTAATCAGGATCCTCTTTTAAAAATGCAAATGGTTCTGGGAGGATTGGGGTCTATCAGTCCTTCATATTACTGTGAAAGGGTAAATTAGTTTAATCAGATTGCTTTCTTTATAACACCTTCCTAAGCCAGCTGCTTGGAAGGGAGTTTTTTTTTTTGTTTGTTTTTTTGGCAGGGTGGGGGGGGGTGTTGGAAAGAAGGAAGGCAGAGAATTCTAGAACATGGAGCACTTCTGTGTGCAAAGAGTGGGTAGGGCAAGGGGTGATGAGGAGTTGGTGGTGCCCAAATGTAAAGAGGGGGGGTGTCCTAGGGCAGTACGGGGATACTGGGGACCAGTGGACCTGAGGCGGCAACGTGTCAAGGCCAAGCTTTGACTATTTACAGATTCTATCGAGGGCTGCACTAGGTGAAGGGGACTTTCCTTCTCCTTTCTCTCATCCCTGGCCATTTATGTTCTGGAACTAGAACTCAGCCACTCCCCACTAAAATCGTCTAATTACTCATTGTGGCAAAGAGGTGACTCTGACAGACTGTGAGCTCTGCTAAGTCTTAGCCAAGCTGGGAAGGCTTTAAGCACTGGCCTCATAACCAAAGTGCCTTTCTGCTGACTGAGGACCAATCTGGCTAAGTCTAGAGAGGTTCGTCATTAAGTTGGCCACAAAGTGATGAATTTTTCAGCCTTGGCAACCCTCAAAGATCAAGTCTCCGGAGGTGAGGGAAGTGTTTACAATCTGCATCTGTGAAGGGAGTACCTCCACTAATTAAATCATATACAGATTCCCTAATTCGGCTAATATCAGGAGTCAAACAGGCTGTATAGTAAACCCTGGGAGGAGGCACTCACCAATCACAAATCATCAGGTCTACAGGGCAAAGTTTCTGGTCCTGGGATAGACTTACTACAAGCATTATTTTTCTCATTCCCCGCCCCCCCCCCAAAACTGTCATCTCCTTAATGTGGGGAAGAATGCCCTCTTTCTCAAATGCAAATTTGTAACTAATCTATAACTTATAACAGTAAGGTAATTCTATGATACATGGGATGGCTCCCTGTGAGGGGTTGGAGTAGAGCTACAGGAGGAAAGTTAGGACGTGAAAAAAACAAAAGATATCAGTACAATTTATTATTATTACATCACCCTTGTGATGTCATTGTTCCTCTTTGAGAATGAAAGACAAATAACATTATTACTAGTTTTTTAAAAGTGTTGCCTAGTGTGCTGAGAAGTTATATGACTTACCTGCCCAGTCTGTGCCCACACAGCCAGTATGTATTAGAATAGAGACTTGAACTCAGGTCTTTCTGAGCTTTCTACTCACTAGGCCAAGCTGCCTCCCCATTTTATTTATTTATTTTTTATTTTTTTAGGCAATCAGGGTTAAGTGACTTGCCCAGAGTCACACAGCTAGTAAGTGTCAAGTGTTTGGTCTGAGGCCGAATTTGAACTCAGGTCCTCCTGACTTCAGAGTGGGTGCTTCATCCACTGCGCCACCTAGCTGCCTCCACCTCCCCATTTTATAGACAAGGGAAATGGGACTCAAGGAGATCAAGAAACTTGTACAAGGCCATATAGTGAATAAGTGGAAGTTTGGTCAAGTCCAGGGCTCTCTGGAATACGACAAACTGCCCAGCAAGGGTTAAACAATAAATGACAACGAATGGAGACATCCAGATGGGAAGTGTGTATGTAGGATGGGTGAAAATAGAAAGGGTGAACCAGGCAGGAATTCAGGAGGAACGGGGACCACTAGAGACCCGAGAATCAGAGAACCAGGAGTAGAGCGGCAGCAAAGGAGAAAGTGTAGGGATCAGAAAGGGTCAGCCCTGAGGTGGAAGAGGTATCATGATTCTCCTTTTTATTTTTGCAACAGCAATTGGCCAGACAAGACAGATTAAGGTGAGAAATTCACTTCTATCAAGCCTGTTCGCGACCCTGACTCCCATCCTAGTGCTCTGCCCACTAAAACAGGTGAGAGAAAGTGGCTGAAAGTCAGATTTCTTCAGAAGGTCATTTGGAAGATAATAGCTAAGCATCTCTTCCATTTGAATTAGAAGTCTGCTAATTTACTTTTCCAAACTGTGGGACATATGCCCCCTTCCGCCAGAACCTTGGAGGAAGAAGGGTGCAAAGCAGTGGGTAAAAATAGTAGATATTTTTTAAGTACAACTGCTGACAAACATATCTTTTTCAAAGAAAAGTTCAAGTTCAAAACACTAAAACGTGAACATAAACCACAACTTCATCTTAACTGGCAGGGGTAAAGGTTAAGGGTGGTAGAAGAGGAGCATGTTGTTACTGGGGGGTGAACAGTGGACCCCAACACAGGGAACCAGTTGCTGACCCTTTCCTCTCTTTCTGCATCCTGGGTGCATATGATTCCACACGTCTTCCCATCCTACAATAGAGCTGATGCCGAGGTTAGATATGAGCCTGAATAAATCAGCTCCTCTCACCACAGTGTTAGTCTGTCTGGAACACCTCCCAGTCCTTTTATTCCTCAATGAGTACAGGAGTTACCTGGGCAAAGGTGCCCAGACAGTTTAAGTCCTTTGGCACATACCACTTAGAAACAGGAGATGGCCATCTATCCTTCCCATCCCCTGACTCCAGGTGCCCAGCAGAACCCTAAAGAACCAAGGGGTTTTCTGCCACTACTCTGTCTTACAGAGGCAGCATGGTTCAAACCCTGGCGTTGCCAATTACTTATTACAGATATTATGACCTTGGGAATCTGACTCCATCTCTCTCAGCCTTATTTCTCCCCAACTTCAAAATAC